TAGTGAGCTATGATTGTGCCACTGCACTCCAGCCTGGGTGACAAAGCAAGAGCCTGTCTCTGAAAATAAATAAATATACAAACAAACAAATATTTTAAAAATTCTAGAGGCAAAATAGATTAAATACATTATGTTACAGCCATATAATCAAACACTAAGCTATTGAGAATGAAATACAACTATGTGCATTGACAGGGAAAGACAGATACATTTAAAAAAGCTATAAAGTGAAAGGTATGATTCAATTCTTACAGAAGGAAAACATGTTTATATGTACATAAAGTCTGACAGAATGCACACTCATCTTCAAAACTGAATTTCTAAAGCACTAGAATCTGAGGAGGAAAGGCTTTCCCTTCTCCTGTGTAGGGCAGAGGTTGTTTACATTTTTCCCATATGTATTAGTTTTATAATTAAAAACCACCAACAAAGTTTAAGAAACAATAGAAGGATACCATGGCAGTAGCATAGAATACATGCTGGAACAAAGGAACATTCAAGCCCAGGGAATCCTGTTATGAGGCTGTTGCAATAAAATCAGATATGCTGATTGAGACCATGCCTGAGTCTAGCTGCTGTGGCACAGGCTGAGTATCCCTTATCCAAAATGCTTGAGACAAGAAGTGTTTCACATTTCAGATTTTGGAATATTTGCATTATACTTACCAGTTGAGCATCCCAAATCCAAAAACCCCCAAATCCAAAAACCCCCAAATCCAAAAACCCCCAAATCCAAAATCCAATGAGCATTTCCTTTGAGCATCAGGTTGATGCACAAAGTTTTGGACTTTGGAGCACTCTAAATTTCACATTTTCAAATTTGGGATGCCGAATCTATACCAAGATCATCTGGCAAAGATTAGTGTATAAATTCCAATCCCAGCCAAGCAAAGCACAACCCCTTGCTGAGCACCACTTAAGGTGATCTCCACACTCAAGGACCAGATGCATTTGGGATCATTTTTAAACTGCTGACTGCTACTGCTATACCCTCCAGGGCTGCTAACAACTAAAAAGAAAAAGAATATTTGGCTTCCCAGCATGACTGCAGACTTTCCATTCCAAGCTACATATAAACCCTATTAGACCTAATTATCCATCAGCTTTTTAGAGACTGATGGGATTTAATCTATCCTCACTCTAAATTTTGTTTTCAGTAGTCATGGCTCAAAGTCTCAGCCCATTCCTCAGATCTCATCTTATTTTTCTGTATCAGTATCGTTGTTACAATCGTCTGTATTCCTGTGCCACACCTACAAAACCTAAACTCCTATCCTTCTGGAAACTGTTTTCCATGGTACTTCCTGAGATTCCCCTGAGTGATGAAGTAGCTCCCTTAATATTCCAAACTACTTCTGTTAACATTCTGTTCATTTCCTTGCATTAACTTAAACTTGGCTCTCTCCAGGGAAGAAAAAAAAAACTTGACAAGAATCACATCAAAGAGGGGCTTATTCCCATATATGCCACATATCTATAGGTTGGAAAGTAGGAACAATGTCCTCCTTACTCCTTAATATTGCTTATAATCATTGTAGCCTTGTAAAGGCCACTCCTTGTTTGGGCTCACACCATCTAGTTATACCACCTTCTCTGTCTCTTCCTGGCTACTATCTTCTATTCAAATGGACTCTCCTTCTAATTCGCTTAGACTTTGCTACTTGCTGTCGTTTTCACTGAAGGCCCTACTGATAACATGGGTGGACTCTCACACATGTAAGACCTTCACTAAAATCTCTGGCCAGTATTTCATCCACTTTACTGCTAGCAGATAATCTTACCATGAAACCTATAATCATATGTCTGTATTTTATCAGCCAGGAACTGGGGAAGTGGTATCTCTTGGCTACAAGGAGGCTGGGATAAGGAGTTTTGTAATTGGATACAAAGAAGCGAAACTGAAGTTCTATTAATAAAGGAGAAGGAGGAAATATAAAGGTTAGCAACTAGCAATGTTTGCCACAATGGGCCAGAAAGTAGCTCTTAAGAAACACCAAACAGGCCGGGCGCGGTGGCTCACGCCTGTAATCCTAGCACACTGGGAGGCCGAGGCGGGCGGATTGTTTGAG